TGCAGAACAGTTAGCTTTGAGGAGCTATTGTCATATACATTTTGGAAATTGTGGAAAAAGAATAATAAAAAATTAATCGTGTAGTTAAATATGTTTTAAAACCTTCATTCTATATTTTGAATTTTAACATCATCATAAAAAATTAAAAAAATTTGTTCAAATATTGATCAAATTTATGTCTCTTATTATTTTAATACTAAAATCTACAATTCAAATTAATGTTATCTACAATTTCATATCGTTTTTTTTTAGTTTTTGTTGAATTATTTCTTAGATTATGAATCTTAAATTGATTTTTTTAATAATGAGTTTTTGACTTCTTCAATCAATAAAAAAATAATTTCATCACATAAAATAACAATAATACTCTATGATTATTTTAAAAAGACGATTGATGTAAAAATTTAAAAACTAGATTTCATACAACAAAAAAATCAATGAAGGTAAATGACGATTTTACTGAAAGACAAGTTAAAACTAAGTTGAAGTTTACAAATTTGAGTTGTAACTGAATTTTGTGCAATTGATTTTTCAATGAAAAATATGAAATTTAATTTCAAATGTTGATTACAAATATAATGAAATAAAATAATTAATTATTTTTTAAAGTAAATTTGTGAATGAAGATAAAAAATACTTGTGATTATTTGATTTGATTAAAAGAGCTGATACTTAAAATTGTAATTTGCTTAACAATGTGATGCTATATTTACAAGCAAACAGACATTCTCACGAAAGAAAATATATGATATAATGATGTACGTTCTTTTGGCTAAGTCCTAAAATACACAAAGATAACATGCTCGTGCTTGATATTACATTAAAATTTTATTTTCCTATCTAATAATTTTGAAAAATAAAATTACATGTTTTAAACCAATAGAATTACTAATATATATATATAAATAAATATTATATTAATTCATGTGATTTTTCCAAATAATATAATATATTCAAATAATTTTTTTTAAAAGGTAATATTTTATCTATTTCGAATTGTTGAATTCAAAAATTTAAATACGTTTTCAAAAATTATTGTGGTAAAAAATATTTTATAAATTTATTATAATAGGAGACAAGCATAGACATTTTTACATAATAAAGTGCAATACAATATATTGTGAAGGTTACTTATTCTAGAGCACGTACTGATACAAATGAATAACGTATACTTGACACTCTTTGAAATATAATGAATTTTTATTAAAATTAAACGAAGGTTATGATATGAAAAAAAATCATAAGATTATTTATGATATTTGAATAAATAATTTTAAATATTTTGTTAAGTATTTATGTAATGAAATTATATACTATTTATTTTTTATTAATAATTATTCAAAATAATATCATGAATTTATTTCCTCGCAACAGGTTTTTTAAATCATGAAAATTCAAACTTAATTACAATAATGTCACAAGACCAAAAAAAATCAGAGAATATTAATTTTATATAGGAGTTTAAAAGTTATCACAAAGAAAAAATATATACTCATCATTTCATCACAACTTATTCTTTTGAAATAGATAGACATTATTGGGAGTATTAAAGAAATTGCTTAAAAAATGAAATACCAAACAAAAATATTACAACAAACAAATATGATAACAACATTTTAATGATGTACATCATTTGATATAAAAAAATAAAAATGCATTCAATTGTTTGACATCATTTGAGTTTAGTCAAAAAAGGACAATTGATTCTAATTATTATGACATATATGGTTGTGCGACTTATTGGTTTATTATTTTATGAATTATAAAATTATGAACAATATCATTAATTTAAATCTAAAATTAATATATAATTTTTAAATTTGCAATTGATATAACATATTATAATAATATATAATTTGAAAATTTTTTATTACTGATTATGTTTTTTTGTTCAATGGATAATTATAAAAATAAAAATAAACATCTTCAAGCTCTTTGTACAAATAAGAGTATATTAAATTTTGTTAATTAATAAATGATTGATCATCATCAGGCCTCTGTGCATTAGACATCCTAAAAATAGATGCCTAACATGCCTAATTTCAAATCTATTGAGTGCTTAATCTCCAAATTATTTTTCAAGTAGTTTCAGAAAAAATAATTTCCAAATGGCTGAACACCAAAATGATTGAACGTACTGATACATTTCATCGGTAGACTGGGTTCATTGTTTCCAAATGAAATGATTGTTGAGAGTGACTTCTCAATGTTGAAATTTAAAAGGAACATTTTTAACATGTCACTGATTGATTTTTCTCTATAAATATTTCTCCAATGTAAACAGCATGATATGTTGCACAACTTGAAGCAATAATACAGGTGGAGATCATGTTTTCCTAGAGAATTCCTGGTTAAGATACATGCAATAATCATTCTCGTGATTGTACGTAACCTCGTTGATATGATGTCTGTTACGTTATTTCATAGAGACCGAGAAAGTAAGAACCATTCGGATAATGGTGATTAAACATGAGCAAGATACATATCATAAGAGTTCATGTAGTGGATCGAGCTGAGACCCCGAACTTGGGATTTGGGCAAATAGTAAAAAAATAGATACAACTTTTAAAGCTATTAGGAACAAGGGGTTGAGAGAAATTTATTTAGATCAAACAATTTTTATGTCTTATTTTTGTGAGAAGTTTTGGTTGAATCTGGTAGAATAAATCTCCCTTAGAATTCTTTTTCTATAAGATCTTGTTGAAATTGAATCATCACTTTGTAATATTGATAGAATGTCACTCTTGGGTCTTCTTTTAATATGATGCCTAATAGTGCCTAATTTCATTACAGATATGTGCCTAATATGGTTAGATTAGGCACATATAGGCATATGACTAATCTACAGAGGCCTGATCATCATGGTTTAAATATGTGACATCAGAAAAAATGTGCAACACATGTATCAAATTTTTGAAAATAAAAATTTGAGGAAATTTAATAATTTTAATGAAAATAAATTTATTGCTGAAATTTTCTTTATTGAAATTTATGAAATAATGAAGATTGGATGATCAAATTTTTGTTGGTGAGCTTTAAAATATTGCAACAAATAATATAGTGGAGAAAATTGTGTGTTGAAACCATATCAAATTGAAATTTCAAAATTAAAATATAACTTTATCAAATATTCTTAAAGATTATGAATATTATATATATTTATATTTACATACTGAAAGTGATGATAATAATCAGTTAGTTTTGAAAGAAGTAAAAATTAATACACACAATCAAGCATTTGTCAGTCATTGTGAATGAAAAACTGTCTTCAAGTGTAAGATGCAATTGTTTATTGATAATAACATCTTATAACTAGTGGAAAATTCAAAATTATCAATATTTATTGATAGCAAATGGATTTAAAAATTAACTAATATATGACAAAGATATTATCAATATTTTTGATGATTAAATGTTTCATACAAGATAAATGTATGATAAAGAGTATATTTTTTTCATATATAAAAAAACATGGAAATAATTAACTGCTATGTGTAATTTTTGATAATTTGATTTTTTATGTATCATATGAAAATTGTTCAATATATATATACATATTTGAAAAATTTATTATTTTAAGTATGTAATGATTTATTTAGTGATTTCTAATTTTGTTTCAATTATGGTGAATATCTAAAAAAATAACCCTCAATCAGATATGAGTTCACACTTGAAGTCAGATGCATTAGAATGAAATAAAATATTCAGACTGAACAGTTCAATTTATTATATAAACGGAGCATGAAACTGTAATAAAGGCAATAAAAAATACTTTTGATTAAATGTAGTTATGAGTTTTGAAACAAATTATTGTCATTTTTTATTGTGATAATTAAAATGGATTACATCTTGCATCCAACTATTTATGCCAACTTTTTGTACAATCAATTTAAAAAAATTAAACTCACATTGCATACTTTCTGCTTATTGATTATTTATACTCTTTATTTCATCAACTTTGTGCAACAATGAAAAACTCAATGCATTGAAACATTTTATCAAATATCAATTTTTCAAGAAAAAAATAAAATTAAATAAAATTGATCATATAGCACTTTAGTCAAATTTTGTGAATTCGTCTTCACAAGTAGCTTTTTACCACTAGATTCACTAACAATCAAAGATAAAAACTCCCTAAGATAATGAAAGATACTAAATCTCTAGCAATGAACAACAAGGACCATTTCTAACCTTGATGGTGTACTTGATCATGAATCATTTCTTTATTGCAATCGTTATGTACACAAACATTGACGAAGAGAGCTGTAGATTTGACTTCTGATAGTAAATTGCGCAACCATTCTAAATATATGATATAATAGACTTTATCGTTTCCATCACATGATTATTTCTAACGCTCATATTGCTCATTACTTTGCATGTTTGTTGATAGTTGATTAGTTGAAATAGTTGATTGTCAGATGGCTTGTCTTTAAAAATCATACAATCATATGATTTGCACCATATCATGCCCGTCTAAAACTTTTGATGATTGAATCACTCAGGCGTTGAACTTTTTTAGACTAGACATGGGGTTGATATATCTCTTCAAATTTTTTTATAAAAATACTAAAAATGAAAAAAAAGATAGAACGTGTACTAAGTAATATTACCTGTAATTCACAACACAATATTGTAATGGAAGTCTCATCACCAAAAGATAATTTAGAGCATGTTTAAAGATGTATCAAATTAAAATAGATTTAAATTTATTGTCTGGTATTACTCTTTTCGTGATGTTTTGTTTCCCAATTTCATTACATTTGTCAATGTTTATGTATAATTCCAATGGTTTTTCACGCGTATCAAGTTAGAAAATGCATGCTGACAAGAAAGTTGTAAACATATGTTGCATTAGTAAACATCTCCTTCCAGCAGTTGATTAGGTGAGGAAATTCACAATGATGAGGATGCAAAACAACCTAATGATGTGGCTAGAGTATTGTGGTGACATTGACATGTCAATTCAGTTGTCAATGATGCAGGTGATATACAGTACCTTTCTTTGCGCTTGGCGTTTCTCTCGCTGGATGGAGAAAATGTAGGCGCGTAAAGAGGTGCAACACTTGTCTGATCGAGAGTCAGATGATCGATCACGAAGGGGATGCCTAGTCTGTGTCCATGACCTTCAATTTTGTATGTATTAAATTTCTGGTTTAAAATGACGGATTTGGCAGCAACGATGGCTGACAGAGGCCTGGTGCTGCTACTCAGAGGCGGAGCATGGGGCTTGCCCACAGCTTGCCCTGCATGTCTTCCCGTTTACATGTACCTGAAGCTGGCCCGCGTTGCCTTCACTCCTCAATACGCGACTTTTCAACCCGATTCAGGTCTGAGATTCTGTGATTCACTCTGGTTTTTTCTATGTATCGCTCGGTTGAGTTGATTGCCGACAGAAAACCTTATGGTCAGGAGGATCGTTTGATCCTAGACCTGGTTTCGTGATGTTCAGCTGTAATTATATGAGTTCGCAAATTTGACATTGTCAAAAAAAATCTGACGGATTTCTGTGAAGTAGTGAACTGTACACTAGGGTGTGAATGGACTGACACTCATCTACTTCTAAGAAACCCATGTGTGCTAGCTAATGAGATATGTTAGAGCAATGTAGACGCTTGAACATATGTGCAGTTTTCGTCCCTCAACTTATGAAAAACGCTTTTTCTTCCCTTCTTCGTGTTTAGGGCAGAATTGATTTTTTCGTAGAAATCCATTTTTTTAATTGATGTAAATTCCACGGCTGGTTATGCTCTCCAGCTCAAGACCACGTCCATAATATGCTGTAAATAAAACCGCCGATGACTCTCCATGCAGATAATCTTCCCGTACTGGAGTATGGTGACGTTGTGGGATACGGTAGTGACACAGGCGGAATTATTGGGGTGTTGAAGAGAGAGAGAATATGCGACCTGGATGAAGGATTGCCAGATTCAGCCAAAGCAGACGTGAATGCCTATACATCCATTGTGAATTCGTGGCTCGCGGATGCTCTTCTTTACGAACTGTGGCTGAAGGAAAATGGAGCAACAGTTGCTGAGGTGTATCTATCATCTCTTCCCTGGCCCATCAATAAGGCAATCGATTGGAAGCAAAGAAGATCCGTACAAGTCCACCTAGGGATTAACACCGAAAACGCTTCTGAAAGGGCTGCAGAGGTACGAAGGCTTTTTTTTTTTTGGGGCTACATTGGAGAATGATACTTTGGAAGCTGAACTGCATTTTGAGAACTATGAAAAAAATTATATTCTTCTTAATTGAGTATTAGTCTCCTGTGTGATCAACTGAGCGATATGTGTTCTCCTTCGAATCTCCTATATGACAGGAATCAAAGTGTGCTTTTATTGCCACACGAGACATATTGCTAGAAAGGCTAGATGGCCGTTTATTTGTGATGGAGATCTCTTGTACTGAGATGTACACCAGAAATGAACTGTCGCCTAGACCCATTCATGCATATAAACTCAATCCGTCCACATTTTTTAAGAGTCTATGATACTGGTCGGCTTATGTGCCACCCATTCTCTAAGTATAAGTCTCATAGAGGTCATAACAGATATGGAGATGTTTCCTCCGATCCTGGTTGTTGAGAAGTATGAAACTTACCAGTTATGTCGAAGTTGGTACTTTGTCGGCGGAGGTTTCTAGCAAGAGAAGTTATAAATGTTCCATCGTGGTATACTACTATGAGAAAATAATATGGAACATGTCTCTAAATTTTTGGATAATCTGAAACCTGGAGTTAATTGCGATTCATGTAGCGCATGATACATTTGTACATTTGTGAATTGCTCAAGCTCCTGCTACTTCCACTTTGCAAAAAAAACTCCATTTGGTACTTGAAACGAGTTCATGGTATCCATCGACAGTCTTCAGTTTTTTTGTAGTAATCTATTGAGTTACCTGACTTTCTACGACCTCAGTGCAAGAAAGTCTCTGTTCTCTCCCCTCTAGATACTGCATCTTTAATCTGAACCTAACCAGTTCATGATCACACATGTTCATATGATGCACTGCTGATAAGTGCTTTGTTCTCAAAAATTGATCTGTACATTTTAGAAACTTAGAAGGTCAGCTTAAGGTAGCGTTCGAAAATTAGTTCGTATAACTTGCCATTGCCATGTGTGCAATCATGTTGTTTGGATTGCTAATTTTTTTGCTTGAATTGCCGATGTTGCCGAACATCTTCTGGTCTGTAAACGCTTCTCGTCTTGTAGATGGTAGAGATGAAACACGTCTGTTGCCGAACTTGCTTCCATATGTGGCCGGAACTATCCAAAGTCGGTCATTCAGGATAGTCAAAGATCACGAAGCATTCTAACTCGCATGTGTGAATTAGTGGAAGAAGATATCTCATGCAGTGTTTGTAACGCGATGTAGTTCTTGTTATTGTGAACTTCTCCGTAATTTTTTTGTAATCTTATGCACACATGCTACTGGAATCTGCGCTCCTTTGCAATACTTATTCGTTTCATTTGTCCACGTCTCTCAGTCCATCTCACCTCTGTCTTTTGTCCTCTCAGTCTGAAGCTCTGGTTCATGATATGCATCACTCTGTGATTGTAATTTGATCATCGTTTGATACTTAAACATAAGTTTATCTAGCTGTACGTCGCCCAGTTTCAACCTTCCATTTTGTCATAACTCCGTAATACGAATCCGTTTATTGATGATGGCCATGTTGATTGAGCATTTTCCCAAATGTCACAGCCATTTTCATTGAGTTTTAAAATTTTTTGGTCACCTCAATATGGTTCTTATGATTACTTCAGGGTTTCCGCAGCCTGAGGTTGGTGATATTGTAGATCGTCTGGTGAAGAGCTTATCTTAATAAGAAGGTACCTGCTAGTATACATCACCATTGATCACCTTGTAGTGGACACATTATAGTCAGAGCTGGATAGGGACTTACTTGACGAACGCATTCACTGCCAAACAATACATCAGAAAACGATCCAACTTTTTCTGATGGCAAATGTAGAATTTATGGTGACTCGGAAGTCGGACTTATGGCCGCATACCAAACTTATAAATGTCAGCATGGAATTCACATGTGGACGCTTTTTGTTAATATTATGTAGAGATATAATGGAATTTATGTCCTTAGGTCTTGAATGTCTCTTAGTAATAATATTTCGTAAGTGCATCAGTAATCTTCACCCTTACCATAGAAAGCTTCCCAAACGAGAGTTTATGGCAAAAAAAAATGTGTTATTTTCATTCTTTCTACCATGACACCTTGTGTTCCTGAGTAATTTCCCAAGCCACTCTGAATTAGCCCATGCTTATACCTTTTTTCTGAGTCTTAGTCATAGTGCGTGACATGAGGGTGTGGGACTTTCCCTTCTAGGTAGGATTCAGAAATATTTGAATGAAGGATATCTTCTCTTAGGGTCCAAGAGTAAGTGCCATTTAAAGGTACAGATTGTAGTCAACGTAGAGTGAACCTTGGAATTCAACACCATTGCTCCTCTTTCTATTTCTTTAATTCGTTACTTAACCCTCAGATTGATCTGGATGTTAACTGTACATGTAATTTGCGTAAAAACTAGTGGGTTCGACATTGCATCAATGTTACTACAAGATTTGGCCTGATGATGCATCTTCAAGTTTCTTATTGAATTCTGCAATATAGCATCATTACACGTCAATTGCTCACTCATTATCCTTAGACGACAAGTACGTTCTCTAGTTCACGCCCGATTGTCCGTCACTCAGATCGCTCATGTTATACTGTTGTTTTTGTCTTATCACTTCGTTCAGGTTCTGCATTTTATCATAATCTCACTCACTGTTATACTGATTGACGTTTCACAAACTGATTACACCCTGGTCAATGTTGTTTTGATGAGTCTAGTATTAACGTCAGTTCCGGATGGAGAGGCTAGTTGAATGTGAAATTGTTAGAATACTGTTATACTCCCTATTACTTCCTGTCTCTTCTCTAGTGTACTTATAGTTAGGACTTTGTTGTGATGTGAACTACAGCTGTGATGTAACGGGCACCGTAAACGTTACCCACTACGGAGGTGTGCCCCACTGTGTCTGTTCATTTCCTTTGTCACCTCGGATTGGGTATTTAAACCAAATCCGGGTACTTGTGTTTTATCAACAACTCTTATGTGGATACTTCCTCAGAACTAAGGAACCTGTGTCGACCCAATCTTGCATTGCTTTCTAGGACCTTTTCTAATATGGTATCAGAGCTGGTTCTTTTACTTGATTCAAGCGTACTTGAATAAGAAGAGAAGCGGCTCTGATACCATATTAGAAAAGGTACTAGAGAGCAATGCAAGAATGGGTCGACACGTTTCCTTACTCTTTCCCCCCTTCGAAAGATAGGATCGATGGTGCGGGAACTGATTACACCCTGGTAAATGTTGTTTTGATGAGTCTAGTATTAACGTCAGTTCCGGATGGAGAGGCTTGTTGAATGTGAATCAACGTGATCTTTCCATGTATATGTCGTGCTTTCTTGATTCCCTGACAAATCTGCCCTCTAATTGCCTACAATTAACTTCGAAACCGTGGTTTTGAACCAATATATTCAGTAGGTGTCATACCTTGGTACAAACTTTAAGTTCGAGTGTCCAGTTGAACTTATATGAAGAATAAGATTTTGAGTTACCCTGCCACTTGCACGGAGTGTAGCACAGACGAAGAAACCCCTTTTCATAAGGATGTTTACTGGAGCACCTTTTGCAGATGGAAGGCGAGATTGCACTCCGGATATGTATGTCACCAGATACATCTCCAGGTTTCGTAGCGTAGATTCACAGTCCGAAGGTGCTGCTCCGTTGAGTTTTATAAAACGGACCTGTCAAGTTAACAGCGAAATGTTCTAGTGGAGATCTACTTGGTTTGCACTCGGAAGCTCGTCAGTAAACTCATGTACGAGAATAATTTCATTAGAGGATACCACTACTCTTTTCTTTCGAACAGTTCTTCCTCTCTTTCCTCATTATTATTCTTCTCTCGCTTCTCCTTTTCCTGGTTTCTTTCTTCCGGTGACAATTTAGCCAGAGCGTGAGGCCTATGGTTTTCAGTTTGTGACAGGCACGTATTACTTCGTACATTTTCTTCTGCCTAGGCTCATGCACAAGTCATACAAAGGAGCACGCGATCAGCATGTGAAAGAATGTTTTATGGTTGACAGTATATCCATGTCAATGAGTACAATTTATTTCTCTTTCACATTCCTTGTTAGTAGTAAACACAAAGGTCGTTATTCGTTTTAAATTGGAACTTGGTTTTGTCATGTATACCTCCCATGTAGCCAGTAGACGTAGCTATTAGTTTTAATACGCTTACTCTTCTTCGGTTGCAGATGGTCGGCCATGTGTGGGCATCATATTCCATAGCTCGTAGCGTTTTCGTTGTCATTTTTTGATCCTATGTGACTTTCTCCTGACTCCAGCAAGAGTTTTTTTATATTGATTGGGTTTTACAGCTTGCATTTTTTTTTATATCGTAGTTGCAAGAATTTGAAAGTTTTTCCTGGGTCTGAATGTTACTTTGTTGTTGGGAACAGTTGTACAGGAAAGCAGCTGCAGCGTATGAAGCCCTGTCGGTGCGATTGCAAGATCAGACCTACTTCATAGCAGGAAAGTGAGTGTCGTGGCACCTTGTTTGCTCTCCTTGTTTTTGTTAAATAATGCTCAACAAGTTATCCTGAACCTCTGCACGGTCGAGGCAGAACGATGTCGTATTCAAGCCGATGCCCGCTTATGAAGAATCAGGGAACTTATGACGATGGATTGATACCCGTCGTGTAGATATTGTTGATTGTTCCTGGTTACCTTTCTTGTATCGGAATGGAAGAACTGTACCGCCCATTATTCTGTCAGTGCGTATGCACTCCTTCGTTCTTCTAACTATGATTTATGTTGACTCTAATTTGTAAAATGGACTGTTGTTTCCTGCTTCACTCTTTGTCAAACTCACGTACATTTTATGTTTTGGATACTTTCTGTAAGCTTGCCTCTGAATGCTGTGCAATGCTATCTTTACCATATGTCGGGCCTCTTTTTTATCTCTTGATAGTTCCAGTGCATCGGACTACGCCTTGAATAGAGCGCCCCGGGGTCTGCGCTGTTCTGGCCTTGTGCGACTTAAGCCCTTGCGGTTGATCTCGTGTTTATATGAATCCTTTCTAAAAGTTCTTGCTCTGGAAGGAGGTTACTTAGAAACAGAGCAACGCATACTACCGCGCTGCAGAAGGCAAGGCCTTCCGCAGCGTTGGTATAAAAACCCCAATGCCGTGAATAGCTACAATTAGACTCCCATTGTTTGCATCACTTAGGCTTTTAGCTATGTTACTGAAATGTTGTATACGATTTGTTCAGACCGACGAGCCTCGATGCGGTTGTTTTGGGACATATTCTTTTCATCCAACATGCACCTTTGGTAAGTCACGGTTTATTTTCAGGTCAAGCGAATGAGTGTTTTTCGTCTTGTGAAGTAGTTGTTAATTGCTAAATAATTTTTTTCTTATGAATCTAGTAATGAAAAATAACTGTAAAAAGTAAAAGTAAAGGTTAAGTAACTTTTACTATACAAAAGTACTTAAAGGTTGTAGTAAGCTTTGACAGCTCTCAGCCACCTTAAAGGTAGACTTTCGGGTTAGAACCTCTCAAGTTTGAGCCATGAGGTTCTCTCTATTGTATTCTAACGTATTTTCTATCAGAAAATAGGTTAGAGTACACATTTTGCCGGCGATCATCTTTTTATGTCTCGAGCAGACTTTTGGAATGCTCATAAGTGAGCATTGCAATCGAGTTGGTCTAATAATAGGTTGGGGAGTGCTACCTACAGTTTGATCGTAGTGTAGTGAGGGTGAAGGGGAATGGTAGCAAGCTATAGTAAAATGAGGACAGTCAATGGACGTATCAAGCATTGCTGGTCATACATCCGGAAACTATCCTAATCATTGTTGCATAATTAGTGTACATCTCAAACCTAGAAGCAATTTGGAGTTGGGATGTGTTTTTTATTAAAAAAATATTGGGAGACATATATGGAAGAAAGAACGCTGCTATAGTTGCTACTTTTGATGTATCTGTAATATTACCGCTACTTGGTGATGGCGATCATAGATGTGGATTATTATCCCGAACACATTGATATTGAGGAAACTCAGATGATTGCTAGTACTGAAGTTGAGAATCATGTGGTTCCTACCGAAGTAGACACAAAAGATGGGTAGGTGGACTTCATGATGTCAACCAAGGGTCATCTGTAGTGCATGTCTATGACCGGGAAGCATGGTAAACCTGAACAAAATGTTGAGATTCGTGATCCTGCAGAAGTAGAGTGAGTTGCCCATACTAGATCAACTAGACAAAGATTGAGGATCGCTACAGAGGTTGTCCGTGTTCAACTCAGAACTATGTTGTCATGGAAGAAGCTACATATACTTTTGAAGATGATAAGTCGTCTTCATACAATGAGGCAGCAATGTATGAGGCATGAAGAATGCGAACAAACTATACATGAAGAGAAAATGTCTCTTCAAAAGAACCAATTTTGGGAGATGGTAGATCTCCCATCTAAGAGAGACTATCAAGAGAGCACACTTAAACCTGAGTGTGCTCTCCACCCTTGATGTGCACACTCAGATTTAAGAGTGTGCATCAATGGTGAAAAGGGTGGAATTCTTTGCATTGCAGATGATCTGCTGTTGATCGAAAGGGAGTAAGGCAGTAATAAATGCCTTACTTCTTACCTCTACATTTTTTGAGGTGACACCACTAGGTCCCTCAAGTTCTATGAAGTAAATGCACTGACAAATTCAGGAACTATCAATCAGCAAGACCAAGTACATCGAAAGTTGTCCACACAGGTATAGGATGGAGGATTTAAAATCTGTTGCAACACCAAATTTTTGAATCTATTCATCAATAAGTTGTTCATCAACAGAAAGTGAAGGAATGGGTAAAACCAATTTATCCACTCTAAGGAGAAACTTGCTATGTGCTAATTAAAGTTCTTACAAAAGTGAAACACGGGAAGTTCATATCAGAAGTAGAACTCAAACTCCCTGTTCCTTAGGTTGGAGTGAAGTAATGATCGATGTTGAAGTCAGTTCCTTTCTGTAATATCAATAGTAGTTATAAAGAGTAAAAGCTACCTACTAAGTTTTGTGATAGTTAATAACTAATCTACTTGATATCCTTAAGTAGAGTTCGGCAGGTATTAGCCACGTTTAGATTAGATTTTTGAGTCAGAATCTGAAATTCAAGATTGAATCAGAACAAAAAAATATAATCAGAACACATGTCAGAGTACACATTTTACTAGCGATCATTTTTTAATGTGACCCATTAGTTCTGGATTGCTGAGAAGTGCATCAGGTTCCACCGCAAACATGATTGATCTCCCGCCAACGAAAGTTGGTCTCAATTCAAGTTTGGGGAGTACTATTTAGGGTTTGATCATAGTGTCGCCGCTCATAGTCCACCTGGAGGGGAGGGTAAGAGGGAGTGGTAGCAAGCTATGGTAAATTGGGGAGAGACAAGTATAGGAGTATCACGCACTGCTGGTGATTCATGTGGAATAAAACTTCATCACACCCTGTCGCAATAGAGTTCATGATTTGAAAATCTTACATTCCTTAGTATCATTGTACTGCAATTGTTTACACTGGTTTTATTCGATCTCAGAATGTGGAAGATGTGGTGTTTATACATAGCAAAAAAATTTATTCTACCTGTTGCAATTTGTTAATATTTATCGTAACTAGTGCAAATCGTAGACTTTTTGTTCGACATTTTTCTTTTCACGCGTTTTCAGCACTAAATTTTTTACTTCATCTCTTGTCTTGATGGTGTCAGCCAAAATATAAGTACGTTACTTACCTCAGACATTCCTAGCTGACTTGTTATCTGATCTCGTTTTTGATTTGGTGGTCAATTACCAATCATTTGATGATAGAGTAACTTTTATCATGGTCCCCGAGTCCTTGGTAACTGGCTCTTGCTGGAAGCATATAAGTCAATGCATTATTTGTGTCTCAGATTATATATCTTGTGATTAGTTTTGAATGAAGGAAGACAGAATATTTGGAGACACAAGACTTTAGATTTTCTACCTTAATATTGAGAACAATGTTGGAGTTTCAAGTGCATGTGAAAACGTTTGCAATTCTTCTGTATCCTATAACCTGTTATGAGTATTTTATCTTTCTTATATATTCATGGTTCACAGTTCTAGTTTTGATTGGGGTTCATTCCTATGAATCACAAGAAGAGCAGATAAGCAACTATTCCGCAGCTTGCACATATTGGTGTAGGAGGAGTTTTACTTGAAGCAATGCAGCTCAAGCACGAAGGCATATTTTTCCGTAACCTCGCTCTGTTGTTGGAGACCATGCTGTTTACGTAATGCACTAGGATTGACCATGCGCAGAGTTCTAAGTAATTTATCTTTGTGCTTTTACAAGTCTTCTGTAAATGGACCAGGGTCTTGGTTAATTCTTGGAAACTTAATTATGTGGAGAAATTCACTACAAGGGAGAGCTCACGTTGGTTGTACTTTCTGTATTCCCTCTTTTAGTTGATTACTCACTGAAAAGGTCTCTAACTTTTGAGTGGTAGGAGACCTCTTCTAGCCCCAACAGGTCAGCCAGGGAGCAGAGACTATGATCATTTAGGCTATTGCAGGACAGTCTTGCTTCACAACAGAGAACATGTTAACAGTTACCATTCTAAAGTATTCATCCGCTTGTCCCACTACCGGCCCAAAATGGATGCTTTTCCATCGTTTTCTAAGCGGGAGTATTTTATTAAAAGCATTAATAAAGAAGACACTAGCCAAGTCAAAGTATGCATTAATACATACACGCATCCCAAGCTGTAGTCAACTTAGTTTTCTCCTTTATATCATATTCCCAGCTATGGTGGGTCAAACTCTCAAGTTGTTTGTTCAACCGTTGGTAACAACCTTGCCGTATTCTGAAAGCACGGTATTGTAATCATTTCATTCTAGCCAGTCAATGATAAATTCTTTTCCATTGTCGTAGTGCAAATTAGCAAAGATACTGAGTCCTCATCAACTGGACCAAAACTTAGCGCAATAACCTTCAGTTGTAACTTTAGGGTTTACTTTTGCTCATGGAAAAGAGATCCCTCAAATGATCTGATGAGATCTTGGGCTAGTTGGCGCTCGCCCATATTCTAAGCTCTGGACAGCCTCTGGACTTCTATTTAGCGTCAGTAGATCCAAAATTAGTGCAGTCTTTTCCGGTCACCACCTTTGTAACATGATATGTTTTCTTCCCGATAGTTGAAAATCTGTCCAACTACTTTAGAAACGACTTGGAAGACTTTTGCTGTTTGGACGTACGTACTTCTCAGACATTCATCGCTTTTGTTGAGCGTTGCTTTGGCTGTTGCGTGACCGTATGGTCTTTGCCTAAAGTGTTCAGCTTGCACTACTGATCACGTTCGCACTCTTCACCTATCATTCATTGTCTGAGCATGCCGTTCAAATGTCATCTTAGCCCCCGTTCCGCTCATACTGAGTACTTATACTCGGTTGATTGATCCACGCTCATTTCTTCCGCGTTGATTTCGAACTTTGGATCCTGTCTAGCATCGACAGGATCTACACTTCCATGGCACCCTGTTGGTAACGTTGAACATACCTCTTCCGGTCTGAGCTGATTATACGCTGATTGTCTCTCGATCTGCACGATAAATTATTTCCCCAGCTGCTGATGGTCGACCTTGACTGCTTGATTTATATTCTTCAAGCCTCATTCACGTACATTCGAGCCATTTGTATTGTACATATATGTAGGGGTTTCATTATTTCGCTACAGATCATAAGTTCAGTCACACCTTAAGGCCGCCCTGTGCTGAGTGCTAGTATATATATATATATTCTTGGAAGTGGTGGAGCGACTTGTCAAACGCATAGTCGACGTGAATTGACTACAGCCTCTGAATTTCATTCCGTAATCATAACCAGAAGCTTGCACACTCCTTCCTGGGGACATCGGTGGTACCTGATAATACTGCTCTTTCAGTCCTACAGTTGATTTATTACTATCATTCTGAATCTCATCTTTGCTGGATTCTAATCTGCACCTGTCTGGAGCATGCTCTCAGCTACAGAGAACGGCATCCGATTTTTCTTCAGTCTGCATTTACCTAGGTTACATGTCCATTTTTATTACGAAGCAAATTTTGTCCTATTAACCTGCCGGTACAACTGGAACCTGACTGCATTGGCACGCCTTTTAATTTCTGTCATAGACCTGCCGCTCTATCTTACATGTATTTTCTCATCACCATAGGGCTTCAGTGTACTGTTACAACTTTTACTTTCACACTCAATGCTGCTTGTATTGCGTCTTTATCTACCTTCTCTAATGCTCTTTCAACTTCTCAACTGGGTTTTCATCAATATGATCGAAACCTGACGCTGTAACCTCCGATTTGATACTTGATCGTAAAGTCTTGCTTTTATTCAAGCCATCCTCTAGGAGGCCAATGAAATCTAGGTTTAGGGGGAGTGGGTCAATGCACGTTGTCATTCTGCGATGATTGTAGCTTCTGGATGCTCAGCATGAAGCGGATCAACGCTTGCACTTTCCTTCCTGGGTACCTCTATTGGAGCTGTTAACATTCTTCTTCCATTCCGTTCGTTGGTTGCTGTTCTCTGCATTTCATTTGCGTCGTCATCAAGACACGACAGCTGCTGATTCTGTTCATCCAGCATGCGTGGGAGTTGGACTGCATTGGATTTTTCTTGCTTTCAGCTTCATTCAAGTAGGTTGCCAAGTATGTTATATATTTTACATGTGCAGTATATACGATAATATTTATAATTTACAGGTTAGAGTAGGGCTTCAGTGTATTGGCAAGCCTTCCAATTGAGCCGTAATTTTGCCGCTCGTATCGAGTACGCGTATTAGATTTTGTTGAATAATTTTATTAGTATATCTTAAGTATCTAGCACATGCCTCATAGTAGTGTTGTGATTTGCAGGAGCTGTCTATTTTAAAGGAAGAGCTGAACAAGCATAGAGCTCTCATTGTTTACGCTGAAAATTTGAAAAAGAAAATTCTGGGAGATTTACCCCCCACTATCTTCCCGAAGGCTTATTCTCCTCCACCTACAACTGGTCCTTCAAGCAGCAGTAGTAGAGGTTAGCCTTCTAAGCACTGCCCAAATTTTACACCTCATTTTATGCTTTAACACTCCATCATCTTTAATTGACGATACTCAAGTTTCTCTCTCTTTAACTCTTTGACGCAGGTACAACAGGGCCGACTACTACAAAGCCAGCCCCTAAGAAGAGAACTGAGAAGGACAAATTGTTCAGGAAACGGGCCAAGTATTTCGTAATAGCCCAAGTGGCTGCGGTCCTCTTGTACGTTGTGTTTGCAGGCATAGAAGTTGAGGATGATGGCATGGAAGACGATGGTGGTGTTGATGATTAATGCAATCGCTGACATCTAACAATTCAAAAGACTTGTGAGGCTTGACATCTAGAATGAGATGAGTTCAAGTAGAAGCCAGACACCCGGGTTATTTTCAGTCGATGCCACAAACGGAGAACGGATTGAGAACTCGAGGACAGGACTCGTGGTAATGTATCGTGACAAGTTTCTTCAGGCTTGCTCCTAGGGAAGTCCACAGCGGTCACATACCGAGCTTTTAGTCAGAACTCCGTGATGTTTCTGGCACAGGGAAATAAGATTCCCATCAGTGAGATATCTTGTGGTCAGAGTTTGCAGCTCTATGAATATCAATCACCTTGCTTCGACAACATTGAATTGTATACTCCTACCTGATTCCTGAGAAACGGGTACACGAGGAGTTTCTTCACTGTAGATAAGAGGGAACTTGAGTTTGAGCCCCTGCTATGGACCGAGCAGAATGAGGAAAGAGATAGATAGAGAGTAATAACGATCCATGTGTTACTGTCCAATTCAAAGGAAGGGACTGTAGCTGAGCTTGCGAGGAACTTTCTACATTTTTTGGTGTCGGGGCCTAGCAATGCCTGACTGAACAATTTTGATCTTCGATGTACATGAATCTGTCTAGCAATTGTTTTGGGACAGATACATTTGTTCGCCTTCTGGTCAACGTTGGCATCAAGTAGAGACTGGGAAACCAAAGAGACGAGGTTTTTTTGTCATGTGCAATGTGCTCCTTTCGCAGTTTGTCGATATTTCGCATAACGTGCGTTCCCCTGTATCCTTAGTGGGGTCTTCTTCAGTGTGGTCTGATTTTCAATCTCATGCAGCTGGAGCATCGACTGTCCTGACTGAGTAATTCGATAACGCAGTATGTAAAGCGTCTGCTTGTTTTGATTTTGAGGCGACGTAGAGAGTCAGTCCAGTATATTGTTGCTCAGTTGCCCAACTTGAAAGCCTGTCTGACATCTCGGGCTATCTCGTGATTTTACTTTTTAGGTCCGAGTGCAGTTATTTGTAAAAAACAGCTCTGAGCAATGACAGAGACTGATCGAAGTGTCTGCTCAATCGAAAGGCAACGGAGTACGTGTCGAGGTAGATTATTTTAGAGCACGTCGACACTTCGCCATCTATGTCGGGCCTGTGGTCAGAAATATGCGGAAAGCAACCAGTCCAACTGATAGTGTGGGCAAATCACCCGGTGTCACTGTTTTTTCAACCAGTTCATTGCCAGCCTCCAGTAGGTAAAAATCTGCATTCTGTCATCCAAAGCCTACCATTTCGGGATACCAATCCCATGTGATTCCTTCACGGCTAATCTCAGAAGGAGCTCAGCAGCACGGCTACAGGCCGGCTGGGAGCCATAGGGGAGCTTTTGCTCGGACTTCGAAAATCCTCATTAAGGTTAAACATTAGTAGGCCAAACTCCATTTAATGCAAACGGTGAGATGGGATGGCATCTGATCGGTCACCTTCTTGAGGGTAGCGCTATCTTCCTAAATTAAAGGCGATCAGACACTTTTTGAGTGCACTGTGTCACAATGGTGTCGTTACACAGTATATCTCCCTGTCTAGACTAGACTGAACACAAATATACACTCACACAGTCCTGTGTTTTCTTCTGGTATTAATTTCTTCGAGCCCTGTTTCATCTTCAAGTTGTACCGGAACTTGCCCAAGTACTACCTCGCAAGCAAGGTGGGAGACACAAGGTCGTTATCTTCAATAGCCAGCAGCCACTGTTCCAGGTAACCTACATTTATGTCATGTAGAAATGTTTCGAATGATCATTACTGTGACTGCCTTCACACCTTCTAAATAACTGCCCGGGAAGACTAGCCTTTTAGCAACACACCCGCTCCAACCTACTTGCAATTTTTACCATCCCTTAGATCCGCAGAGGTACTTCTCCTTATCTTCACCTTGCACTTGCAGAGAGAGATCAAATATGCGATTTTGGTCTCTATCTTTGAGGCAGGTACTTGAGGTTATCCACAGTTTTATAATGTTGATCTGTTCTGTATCGTTACTCTTTAATGGTGCAGATATACATCAACATTATTATTCTTCTTGTCTGAAATGTTTTTTCCTGTCTGTACTAAAGTGCTTTTGGTAGTACATGAAGTGAGTCTGATTGGGTCTTTGTTTTGCCTGTGTTTTGTATTTTCACTGCAAGCTGAGCTGAGGTGAAAACGTTGATCTTTCTTCGTTCTAGACAGATGATCAGAGAAAATACTTTTTTTCTGTATATAAAAGTGATACTTTAAAATCCTCTGTCTTGAAACACTTCCGCACTAGGGTATTCTCTGTGTGATTTTGCAGCAATTTAGTAAGACCTTTGAAGACAAATCAGTTATAAACGAGTCCCTCCGTACTTTAACCCAAATTGATTCTATATGTATGCTAACTTCAGCTGCTCATATCATTCCTCATTAATGTTTACGGTATTTATCGATAGGTTTTTCCTCTAGTACATGGTAAAAAGGACTTCACCCACGAGATACCATAGAATCACATTCTGGTTTCTCTTGATGTGTTTCCCGATTACAATGATCGCTTCTAGACTAATATGCGAAGTCAAACATATTAAGAAAATAGATTCGATTAAGTGTATAAACCGATCACAATAATCATGAATACAGTAGAAAGTTTGTAGGTTGTTCTAATTTAACTCATTTGTTGTACACATAGAAGCACAGCATTGTATCGTGATATTTTTATTTGCTTGCTCTTTTATTGCCCAAAGGAGTGAGATAAAGCAAGTAATAGCATCAAAGTATAAAGCATCAAGTATATTGAGTTGATACAGCTGCGAGATAATAAATTAATCATTATATCTTATTTCCGGACTTCAAATATTTCATTCCTAGTTTCTATTTTGGAAAAAAATTTAAGATTCTTGATTTTCTAGAGGAGGTTTCTGGAATTTTGTTTAGTCTCATTGATTGAGTACTGTACGTTGTCACATAAGTCTGTCATATTCATTAGCTCCTATACGATGTGAAGCACTTTAGAAGTGACCTTGGACCTATATGCAGGAACTATTTAAATTTTGGAGTGTATTCCAATTTTCAAGCGTGTAATGTGTCAACGATACCGATAAGAGATTCCAAGAAAGAAGTATTTGAGTTGATCTTTAATTGAGAACATAAGACGGGGTTTTTTAACATGAAAAAGGAAGATTTTTAATTCAGTATCGAAGCAAAGGGTCAGATGTTCCATCCAGTCTCCGAATGTTTGCAAGAGCAGATTTGAAAACTTAAAAGCCATAAGGAACAGATATTATTATACCATGAAGAATCAGAACCTTATGTACTTCCATGCATCCACACAGTCTTGAATATTTCCGGATAGAACTGAATTTTGTAACTCACTCTCCAAGATGTACTATTCCAAAAAGAATTTGCCGATCATGCCATTTGTCTATTTCAGTCATGAATAAAATTGGACGTGATATTTGTTGCTGTACAGTTTGAGATCCGACTGGCATATTCAGAAAGCATCATATATGTAATAATACTAGGGTAGAAATACGCACGATCTTCAGCATGCAAAAACGAACTAAAATTAAGCTCTCGCCTGACAGACAAGTGGAGAAAGGAAAAAGAGAAGAGCGAGGGAGTAAGCAAAGCAAGTTGCCCGCTGCGAACCATGCTCAACGAGGGCCGAGGAGCTCATCTACCACGGAAACTCGGTAAGTTCTAAATGCGGGAAGATGGCGAAAGGACTCGCTCATGGGAATGATCGAGGTCCTGACAGAAGCGAACTATATGGCTGACGATGTCTCATACGCTTGGAATTGGACAGGGCGAATGCAGGAATTAATTGTATGATAATGGACTTTTCTCTTCACCATCTCTCGCAGCAGAAAAATGCGGATTCCTTCTGGCACCGGAGGAGGACTGAGTCATGACAAATATAGCAGATCCTCTGTAACTATGTCAAAAAGGCGAGTGATGGAGTTTACTGCGGGGTGAAAGGACAGGGAGGCCGACAGGACAGGCCATCAAATTCCCAGATTGACGAATGGCGAAGCAGGAGTTGACTCGAATGGAAAAGACACCCTTGATTCAAGGGGCCTACTGGAAATGTGTTGGACGCAAATCTGACAGCATGGAAGGTTCACCTTTGACTCTGGTTGGTTCGAACCTTGAAGACTGTAGTTCCTGCTTAGCTGTCCTGCCGTGGCATGTGCTTCCACATTTGGAGAAGCATTCTCTGTGCGGCAAGTTTCCCTTACTGCGTGGGGCATACGTGACGTGGTTTCTGTCAGAGCTATGCGGAATGAGTTCGGTTTTAGGCGCAGCCGGTACTATAGTAAAAGGCACGAGACGACTCGGTCAAGTCCTACGCGACTGAGTTCAGTTGCAGTTCTCGGATGTCGTCTATTGCCATGCTTTGCTTTGGTGACGGCGTTCTTTGCCTGTGCATCTGCGTCTCCGGCCTTGCATGCTACTCCAGCTCGAGCAGTTCTGGACACAACTGCATGTTAGAGCATATTTCATCTTTCTACGGAGGTTATTCACGTTTGTATGAAGTGTTTCTCACAGGACATACAGATTTCAGGCCAGCATAACCTTATTCTTCCACCATGGTTTTTGAACAAGTTTCCATCATTTCAACTGTTTGTGTCTTCAAACTAATTACCTTTCACTGGCTTTGAGTCTGATTGTTTGAATAAGGTCTACTATAAGTTTTGATAGTTTGTGGACGTCCATGTCATGATAATGGAACAGATGGGGCTAATCTCATGATGCTAAAGTATCTGGACACCTACGATCCATATCATGTAAAGGTCAAATTTAATGTTTTGCTAATGCACAGATAAGATTTCTTCTCCCATGAGAAATCTCATGAGGTAGTATTTAGAGATTCAAGAAAAACATCACACATAAACAAATTATTTTATCAGTGATTAGAAAATCATACTATACATTCAAAGTCGCATGTTCCTTTCCAACAACATCATCGCCATCTTCAACAATTCTAGCCCAGACTTTGCAAACTTTTCCATAAAATTTGACACACAATTATAGTGATGCAAGAATTTAATATCTATCTTTTGAAATAATATATAGTTAGAGAATATACATATTTATATCCATAGAAATTTACAATCAAAGCATTATATTTATTTTCCTTAGACGTTTTTTTTCTAAAAAACCTCAATTCAAATGTCAATTATAGCCTAATACCAAAATAATTTGCTATTTAAAAGCATATCATAAGTGTACAGATAAATTTCAAAATTGTTCGTATACAATGTTTTGAAAATAATATTTGTTTTTTAGTTAAAAAATGAAATAAAAAATCAAGTAAAAAATATAAGATAATAAATTTTAGCTACATTTTTTTCTCATCAAATCAAATCACAATTCGTAGTAATATCTTAGATATCAAAAAGTCATACATACATACATAACTAATTGAGAAATTGGCCACATAAATTATTTGATTAACAAAATGTTGATACAAATATAATTTAATAATTGCATCAAAAATTAAAATGTGCTCCTTTGACATCCATGTCAGATTTATAATTGTGCTCATGCACAATAGTATTTCCTCAGACTTAAAAAATCCATAAAAAAACACTTATTTTGACATATTTTCATATTTTCTTGCATATTTAAAATTTATTATTAGAATGAAATAATTTCACTTTAATTTCTCATCAAGAGTATAGGGGTCTTTTATAAAGAATGATTAAATATCTTGTGTCACTGATTAATGTTATTATGCAGCATATATTCATATTTGCAAATTTCAAAAAGTCTTATTTCAGGAATTTATAAAAGAAAATTTTAAAAAATCTAAAGGTTAGGAAGTTGATGTCTGGATATATACTATTCATTAGTTCAATGCATAAAGTTTCATTTTTATCAGTATATATATATTATTTTAGTATCTGGTCTAGTGGAATTGCTTGAGTACAGGTGAGATCGATGTTAAAGATGAGTTTGGAGCTAGAAGCGTTGTGGTTGATGTGAAGACCAATTGATGTAAATATTGAAAAATTTTAATTTTTTAAATTCATTTTATTTATGCATATAATATAAAAGTAATTAATGAAATTCAAATGATTTATAGATAATTTGAAAATTTACCTACTTAAATTGCACTATATAACGCAGTCAGGGAAGAAAGTTATTTAGTAAAATAAAATCATAAAGTTCAGTTCAGATCACATTACAATTAAAACATGTATTTTTCAAAATCTAACGATTTAACTTCTAAAATTTAATACTAAGATTATTTTTTGATCAAGTTATTTTTGGATTTAAAATATAAAAATAGAGAAAAAATTTCAAATTTCAAATTTCAAATTTTGTTACATTATTTTCTTCCAATTTAATTGCCTTTCCTGATAATTGAATAAAAAATAAAAAATCGGTATAATTTTTATTAGCATTACATATCAAAATACATTATCATGAAAAAATGCATTACAAATCAGATGAGATTTGCATTTTTGCTAATATATTAATGTTAGCTTGTCAAATGCATGCAAAACATGCAAACGATAATCTACTTGTGGAATGAACTAAAGATTATTCTTTTTATTGAAAATATTTGTCAATGTTGAATTTATAATAAATCAAAGTCAAGTATAGTGAGACATAGGCTTTATGGTATTATATTTCTTATAATAAACAAGATGTATTTGCAATAAGACAATTAAGAGCAATGAAGTATTTGAAAAAGAGATTTGAGCATACTTTTGTCAAGTTACATAGAGAGGATGTATACATTGAGAGTGAAAATTCAAGAGGGATAAAAAAATTTCGTACAAAAGTCCATACCACACATACAATGATGGACCTATATGCAATCACAAAATTTAGAATATACATAAAAAACATCGAGGGTGACCGGCTATGCTTAAATGATATGGATCTTGTATAGTTGATAGATAACAAGGGCAATTTCTTCAGAATAAAACCAGCAAATATTTATGTCCAGTGCCGAAGTTCATGTCAATCGAACAAAATATCTAGGAAGTTGCCTATGGCTTGAAGGTGCTAGGTAGTCAATATCTTCCTCTTTTATATCAGTAAAGGCTCTTCAATTGGATGATTGCTGGATACCGATTCGTAGATATGATAAAAGCTCGCAACCCACAAACCAGGAAGCATAGTTAGATGATGCAAGAGATCCCTGGTCATAGTATACAGAAGGATGTCAAACGTGAGAGGAATGCAGGAGAAGGGGGAACCAAAAGAAAGGGGCATGTGGTTCGATAAGAAACGAGCCAAAAGAACAATAGAAGAGAGTTCCATTCTGAACAAGAAATTTTCCAAAACATCGGCATCATTTAAAAAAACCCCGGGACGGTTACTATTATAGGCAAACGATAGATATGGAACGCGAAGTACGCGAGTATAAAAAACTCGAAACAAGTCACAAGAGCACCAGAGCATTATGATCATAGATAGCGCATGCTGGCCGGACAAGAGTAAAGAAAGCACAGTACAACGACAGTCGTGCGAGCCGATGTCGAAGGGTGCGAGAGCGAGAGCGAGAGAGACAGAGGAGACTGGCGCACTGTGGCGCGTGTCAGAGTTCGAACCCAGGCCCGCGGTGAGGGAGGCTGTGGTCGGGACTCCGGACTCTGGACCTGGTCCGCTCTGGGACGGACTGGTAATATGGGACAGGTGTGGTATGGGAACGAGGAATGCCATTCCTCAAGCAAAGAAAAGCGAAGGGGAGCTGTAGGAGTGGAGGCAAGTTGAGGTGAGGTGGGTTGGGTTGGGTTGGTTGGGTAACTTGAGTTACCTTGGGGCATGGACTTGGGCCGGCCAGCGAGAGAGGGTAGCCAGCTAGCTATGAAAGTCGTAGCTTAGCCACAGTGGCTTTCCATCGCATGCCTCTAGTTGTGCTCTGGCTCCGAGACTCAGCCAGCGATGACTTGCGAATCTCGCCTTCCCTATTCGCTTCCTTCGCACTCAGGCTCGCGGGACGACGGGGCTGACCGACCCAAGCCCTGCCCTGCCCGGCGCGGTCACTCGTTTGCGGTTTCGTCGTCCCGGGCGCACAGCTGGCAGGCCCGGGGCGGGTGCCGAGGCAAACTTCCGGCGGTGCGGTTGAGCAGCCGGGCCGAAGGACAAATGGCAGCCTGGCCAGGAAGCGGGACAGGGCGAAATCGGTTTTAGTCGTCTGGAGGTGCAAGCTGACAGGCGCCCGAAGAGGTGGCCGGGGCAGCGTGGCCACGTAGATGCGAGCCGCTGAACTCCAGGAGGCCGCAATAGGAACCCGGCCTAGAAACACTGACCTACGCTGCGCTCCCTCGCGCGAACCGGGCTCCCGCGGTAGAGGCCAAGATCCGGAGCCCCAGGCTCTCCATCATAATGGGGCCGTATTTACTTACTCGGTTACTCGCGGGCGTCCATCAGAGAGAGAGGGCGTGCTCGGAGGAATCTTGTACATGGCGGTTTAATTTGGGGGAAAAGGGACATGGAGGAGGAAGAGGAGGGCGAAAGATACGGGATCCGGAGAAAAGATTGCGACACCCACCGGTGTACCTTGAAATGGTGCGAGGAAAACTGTAGGAAAAGGGGCGAGCGAGCGGTGCTCTTGCAAAAGGAGCGACGCGAGTCCCTTTTTCCGCCGCTGGTCAATTATGCAATTACGCAAGCTGGAAAGCAGGGAGGCGATTCTCGACGCGAGAACGAGGGCCGCGTCGCTAATTTCGTGCCCGGTAAAATTGTCGAGCCACAGTGGCCAGACAGACGCCCGTCATCCTCCAGCAGGGCGGGGCGCGGGGCTGCCTCACACAGAAATCACCGCACCGCTGCCCCGTGTATTTTCCCGGCGCCGAATCCCTCGACCGGGTGACGAAGGGATAACGTGGTAATCTCAGCCCACCTACCTCCTCCTCCTCCTCCTGCTCCTCCTTTGCAGGATGGATGGGAGCGGGCAGCGAAGAAGGCCCCCGGCGGACAAGGACCTGGACAGAATTGGCGGCCCGACCAACTCGACGCAGTCCCATCTCTCTCTCTCTCGGCGACTGGAGACGTCGGACGCGGACGCGGCGCCGATGGCAGCCGGGGCCCGGTTTGGAGGCTCGGATAAACTGGACCTGTGCCGGTTGTAGCCGAGGACGATGTCAAGTGCAGGGGAAGCAGAAGAGGGAGGAGGTGCGTCAGCGGCATTGTCGTAGTCGTAGTAGCAGTAGCAGTAGTGGTGGTAGTGGTAGAGGTGGAGGTAGAGGTCGGGGTCGGGGTCGGGGGCCACCAATAAACCTAAACCCTGGGCCTCTGTATTGCTCTCCATGGCTCGCGCGCTCGCTCCTGTTCTGGTTTGCGTTGCTGCGACTGCTGATGCTTTTCGATGTTGCGGTGGTTGCCGTAGGTAGTGGAATGCACTGCACTGCGCTCGCCTGCCTGCCTGCCTGCCCGCCTGCCCGCCTGCCAAACCAAGCCCAGCCAAGCCAAGCCCCCAGGCTTGGCTTGCCACTCTCGACTGTCTGTCTGTCTGTCTGCCTGTCTGCGTGGATTCTGTTCTCCTCTGGGTTCTCCACCCGCAAAGGAAAGGCGACGCGAGCGCAGCCAAGGTAAGCAAGGGAAGGGGAGGGAAGGGGAGGGGAGGGGAGGGAAGCCAAAGCCGCAAGCAAGAGTAGAGGAAAAAGGGCAGGCCCGCGAAGGCAAGGCGAGGATGCAGAGGAGGAGAGAGGGAAGGGAGCGTCCCCAGACTTGAGTTGAGTTTAGTTGAGTTGTTCTCTCGGCGAGGGAGGAGGACGCAAGGAAGGAAGGGGAGAGAGCGAGAGGGAGGAGAAGAAAAGGAAGAAGAGGAGGAGGAAGGGAAGAAAGGAAGGGCCTTAGGGAGCGCAGGGTAGGCGGGTGTCTGCGTGTGGAGTCGATCGTGGGTGCCACCGCGCAGAGAGGTTTCGCTCTTTTCTGTCTCTCGTTCTCTGTTTCTGAGTGTGGTGGTGGTGGGGGGTTGTGGGTGTGTGTGTAAAAGTGAGTCAGGGAAGTCTGTGTGTGTCTCTGTCTGCCTGCGAGTCTGGTTGTGTGTGCTGCTTGGCGTAGCGCAGTGCTCATGGAGAAGATGCAAGACGGCCGTGGTGTAGTGCGTCCTCTTCTTCTTCCGGACTACCTCGGTCGTGCCATGGTGGATTTGTGTTTGCACCCTTGAGACGATTAGAGAGAGCATCGATTGTAAGTATTACGCTCCTTCTCTACGCCTTCTTCCGGCCCCGAGCGGGCGCGCTGCGGAAGGAAGAAGAGGAGAAGAGATTCTGTTGAGCATAGTCTTGTGCTCAAGTGCACAGAGAGAGAGAGAGAGAGAGAGAGAGAGAGAGAGAGAGAGAGAGAGAGAGAGAGAGAGAGAGAGAGAGAGAGAGAGAGAGAGAGAGAGAGAGAGAGAGAGAGAGAGAGAGAGGATGGGTGGTCCACAGCTGGATACGTTTAAGTCTGTGTTAGCGAATGCAGAGGACGGAATGGGAGGTTTGGACATGGGATCGGAGGAGGCGAGCGTTGTGCACAGGCCGGTGGTGGCAGAAGAGTCACTTGCATCCAGCATCACGCGGCAGAAAGTTGCAGCAGCAAAGCAGTACATTGAGAACCATTACAAGGCCCAAATGAAGAGCTTGCAGGAGCGCAAAGAAAGGTGCCCTTTCCTCCTCATTTTCTCTCCACAATTCCTCCTCTTCAATATTGCCACCGGACTCACCTGGGTTCCTCTTTGATCGAATCTCCGTGCCCAGAACCTGCTACACGACTCATGTGCATTCCTCCATGACCTCCGATTTTCTATCAATCTGTCGCAAGGCGTGTTTCGGGCATTTCGATTGTTGCTTTTGCCTGCGCCGAGGATGCGGAGATATCGCCACCCTCGTGGTTCAAACCGTTGTTGAGTCGTTGCGCAAGGGATCAGATTGCATCAGCCAGATCAAGCTTCTGCGAATGCACTGCTCGCACTTCCAGAAGGCCTGTTCCGAACGAATCGGGAATCCTACAGGTCTAGGTCTGTCACACCTGCACTACCCAAGAATTACAACCTCATACTTTCGGCTTTCATGCTGAACGGAGTATCCATATCTTGAACGTGACAACGTTTTCGATCCCTCGCATCTACAGTGTCCATCCTTTTGATCGTCTAACATAAACGAACCCCTTCCGGTTCACAAGATGGTTAGATCTTTCTTATCGACCACATTGTCACGGATTTCAGGACCCCCGCCTTCTTAACCATCGAATCTTGGTCCTTATTTGCCAATGTTGAACAGTTTTTGGAATTACCCTAATTTCATTTCGCGTTCGTTCGAGGGTTTGGAAATCGAATGGATTCTGTCGTCGATGTACGTGTTCGTTTAATATTGTATCTGAGTCGTGGATTCTGCCCAATTACTTGGTAACCATCGGGCGATTGTATGTTTCTGGGAGTCCTGCGATGCCGATGTCCGGACGCCTCCGCATGGTGACCCTGCCTTATGTCGCCGAGATCTGTTCAGTACAAATGTTCGAGAAGCACATGTGAGGCGCTTTTGTGATCACCCAAAACATATACACTCATACTCAATCTTAGGAACCGTAGAGTTTGTATTTTTCTTCGCGAGCGAAGCATCAGTTTGCGGAAGTTGGCTTACCATCAGCCGGAAATATGATATTGCATGGGTGAGGGCCTCAAACCGCGTTCTCAATTCATGAGGATCCAATTCGATGTAGAGAAATCAAACTCTTGCATATTGCCCTTTACGAGATTGAACATGAGATCAACTATCCGTCATGGATTACTGGGTTGGGTACCTGGGGGTTGCTTCGGCACTATGCAGAAACACTTGTGCCAGATTGAATTCATGACCTGAAGGGGTTGTTTATGCCTCTTTTTTGGGGGTTGTTTTCGCAGACGATGGACTCTGGAGAAAAGACTAGCTGACGCAGATGTCTCAGTTGAAGAACAACACAATCTTCTCAAGGATCTGGAGCGCAAAGAAACCGAGTATATGAGGTTGCAACGGCACAAGATGGGTGTCGATGATTTCGAGCTGCTTACTATCATTGGAAGAGGAGCTTTTGGAGAGGTAAATCCAGTTTCTGCAATGTTGTGGTTACTTGTATGTGTCGCTGGCCTCTTCAAGAATTCGAGATTCACTTCACGATGAAGAGGCTGACCATTGTCTCATCCGTTTTCCATTACCAGGTGAGGCTCTGCAGAGCCAAGGCCACCGGACACGTCTATGCCATGAAGAAGCTAAAGAAATCAGAAATGCTCAGCAGGGGTCAGGTAAATTTACGACGCTGTGTTTCATCTTGACCTTTATTCTCTGGTGTATCATATGGACTTGAGGGAAGCACACCAAGTGAGGCGTTTTTCTTATCGGCAATAAGAATTATCACATGCTTGTAGCTAAAGATACGGTCAGGTTAGGTTGAGGAGGCAGAGAGCGTATGTTGTAAACACACTGTATGCCTTTTTCTTTTAAAACTGTTTAATCCCTTGCGGCTGTGCCTCATGGGTTTGTGCTGATCGGTCCGTAGCATGGTAAGCCTTTGTGGTCGATCATGTTGTACTTTCTATAATGTTTTTCTTCGTCAATGGAAGCAATTGCGTCCAGTCATTGGTTGACTTAGATTGTGGAAACTTTTGTGGCGGGTGCTTTCTTTTTTCGGAGCTGTTTTCCTTCTATATTCCTCAAATCCGGATCTGGACTTTACGCCTGGAGTTTTCTTTTTGTCCTGTTTCCGTCTCAGGTGGAACATGTCAGAGCAGAACGAAATCTTCTGGCAGAGGTTGACAGTCACTGTATAGTCAAACTTTACTACTCCTTTCAGGATCAAGATTTCCTTTACTTGATTATGGAGTACCTTCCAGGAGGAGACATGATGACTCTTCTCATGAGGAAGGATACTCTCACAGAAGACGAGGCACGATTCTATGTTGCCCAAAGTGTCATGGCCATACAGTCCATACACAAGCACAACTACATTCACAGGTAAGCTCTAGTTTAAGTTATTTTGTTTCTCCTGTTTGAGAAGTCCTTGAGCAAGTGCACCATCTTCATTACTCGAGCTTAATTACCTTGCTTGTGGGAGGGAACTCACTTCTCAAGGCCACCACAGTGGATGGTCGACATAGACTTTGTCACATTAACCGAATGCTGTTTCGTATGGCAGGGATATTAAACCAGATAACCTACTGCTCGACAAAGACGGGCACATGAAACTGTCTGACTTCGGTTTGTGCAAACCCCTCGACTGTTCCTCTCTGTCCACTTTGCACGAGAATGAGCCAAGCACAGATGAGGAGTTTAGGGAGCCCATGGACATAGAGCAGCGGTTGCAGAGCACTTCTATGAGCGGGCCGTATCGTAGTCAGCAAGAACAGCTTCTACATTGGCAGCGGAACAGGCGTATGCTGGTACACCTCCCTTTCATATGCATGCGCCTAAATAGCTGCAGGTGTACGTAGCACTGTTGTTTCTGATGATTCTATCCAATTTTCTTGGTATCCTATGTAGGCCTATTCCACAGTCGGTACACCAGACTACATTGCACCTGAAGTCCTCCTGAAGAGGGGATATGGACAGGAATGCGACTGGTAAGATCTGATCTTGCGCAGTAGATCTTTGGCATTCTGCTGTATGAGTGAAATGACGAATGCAAATACACAGGCACTGGATAGGTGTTCGCAGCTATTCAGTATACCTGATCTTTTGTTTTGTTTGTGTGCTGCCGTTGAATCTTTATGGAAAGGATATGAGAGACACTTTTTATCCCCTTCTGTGATCCAATATTAGATCTGCAGGTGTACCACTTCGAAATTCTTGTTCTAGTTCTGTGGTCCAGTTTGACTGGAGGAGTTGGCTTTATTTCCAACTGTTGTCGGTTGAGGTTGGATCGATTCCCTCGTACCTCAAGTATACTCAGAGTTCACCTAAACTCGTTAAAGAATTGGCATAACCTCATTTTGTATTGTGTGTCGGGTTTCTTCAGGTGGTCATTGGGAGCTATTATGTTCGAAATGCTTGTTGGCTATCCACCTTTCTACTCTGACGATCCCATGAATACTTGTCGGAAGGTAAACCCTCACGAAACGTTCGTTCTTGGATTCCCGGGGTATTGAAGAAACCCTTTCTCACTCCGCGGAACCAACAAAAGAGAAGCAATCATTTTTTATGTTAGCACGGGAGAGGAGACGTCAGCATCGGTTGACATTTAAATAGCTTTAACGTATCTCTTAACTGTCATTAGAAATTTCTAAGATTTCGAGTGATTCTGAAGACATCAACACAGTAAGCTCACAGGTTGCAGAGCTTGAATTCTTCATGATCAGCTATTTCCGCAAGTTGTTGGTTTGATATAGATGGGTTCACTCAAAAGATACTCTGCTTTCCTATTCTGATTCACTTGAATACATCGTGCAGATTGTGAACTGGAGAACCTACTTGAAATTCCCTGAAGAGGCAAAGTTGTCCCCGGAAGCTAAGGACCTAATTTGTAGACTGCTCTGCGATGTGGAACACAGACTTGGTGGTGATGAAATCAAGGTAGGAAAGTCGGTGTCTATTTTACAGCGCCTTGGATTCGTAATAGGATTCGTAATAGGATTTAAATCCAACTAAATTATATCGGGGTTTTTAATGCTGAGTAGCTATTTCTGATACCTTTTATGGGACATCTGGCTGTACAGCAACATGCTTGGTTCAAGAACGTACCATGGGATAGACTTTATGACATGGAGGCTGCGTTCAAGCCAGAAGTCAACGACGAGCTTGATACTCAGAATTTTGAAAAGTTTGAAGAGGTAAAACAGTAGCTTTCTCTTTCGACTTATGTTGTCCACAAAATCGTTTTGTATTGGATCTTCTGAGCATATCTCCGTCTCATACGCTTATCGACGTCAGTGACCGCAGTGCCCACCACCACCACCAGCTATTTTGATGCTTTTTCAGTAGAAAGGTAGAACGCTGAAGGAAGAAGGTCTAACTTCATCTCTATATATAAAAAGGTTTTAATTTTGTAGATCGTGGATGCTAGTGGCCGCTGTGGATTCAGCTCGTTATTTGGACCTCATGTCTTACCAATTTTTTTCTCAATTTCGTTCGTGCTGTAAACTGGATGCAGATTCAACCCCATCCCCATCATACTTCTAGATCAGGACCATGGAGAAAGGTGAGTTGTTATTTGTGATTGCTTATCTCCAACCTCCGAATTCTGAGGTAGCAGAGGCTCTAAATAATGTTTATATGCCGTAATAAGGTGCTGGGATCTTGTTCCCATTAGGAGGCACGACGTTCTTTCAACTTCTTGAAGACATGTGCTTAACATGTGTTTTTCCATAATGTCATCGAACGAGTAGATGAAAACATAGTCGTCAAACTGGTAAGACAAGTGAAGTGACACTTGTTCGTTGATCATATAATTAAGATACAGGCTTGATGATGAACTGGGTTTGTTTCTGAACAGATGTTGACTTCGAAGGATGTGAATTTTGTGGGATACACATACAAAAATTTTGATGTATTCAAGGGAATGCACGCTCCTGTTGGTAAGTAGACTTCACCCGCTTATTTCAACACCCTTGATATATCTCTTTCAAATTTTTTACTCTTAGGTCGGAGAGCTCGGCAGAGAAGAAAAAAGAAGGAAATGTAGAGTAATTGCGCTGTCTATATTTGAAGCTGACAAATGCCGGCTGACTCGTTTTTCTGCACGTCTCAAACACTCAAATCAAAAGTTAGAACTGTCGTACATTTGTCACTGGATTGTAGCGTCACGTACTTAAGAAAGTTTCACTTACAGCAGTCTGAGACAGTCTCCATCTCTTCATTTTAATGAAGATGGTAGACATTTGGTGCTCTGGATGCGCCTACTAGCATCTTCCTGGAGCTATCGTGCGGAAAGGATGAAGTTTTTTGTCAGTCATTCATCTATCGACTGTAGCTAATCTGCCTTGTAGTCGGCCAATGTTGCTTTTCTGATGGAAACAACTTGGATTATGCACAGTCCAGCCATAAGTGCTGACTACTACTCCATGCTGAATAGACTGTCTACAGATTCTCATGTTCTACTTTCTGCCGTTTTCGTGGCTTGTTGGATGCCATCGTGTTGTTTCGATTGCGCATCGTTGGGTATGGTCACCTTCCTGTTTTTTTGTGATTCTCAAAGTCTTATTACACGAACAATCGTGCCGTGTGCTTCTGGAAAAACATCGATACAACTTTTTCACACAATCTTCATATTGTCGCGCAGCAGAGCTGAAGAGAAAACCACAACCTAAGAGACCTTCAATTGTCTCATTATTTGGTGAGTTTATAACTCTTGGACGTATGTCTTAAGGAGTTTGTCGGGGATTCACTTTCGGGTTATTAATATGGACATTTATAGCTTGATCTTGTCTCCGCATCTCCTGTCGTTGCTTCGCCATACAACTCAAACTTTAATCAAATCGCCTCTCAGGTTAGCTGTGCGAAAACTTACATCAGTGTTAGCCCGACATCCGATGTTATATGTCGTCACTGTATGTCGTCACTGTGTCGATGCTGAAGAGAAATTTGATGATTTTTTCAGAACAACCAGCGACTGTAGGAGCCGTTAACAGTCATCATGATGATGGAGCAGAGTGTATACCCACGCAAATGGACATAGCAGGTGGTCAAGGACCTGATAGCATGTCATCATCTTCGTCTGTACTTTACAGACCAGCTCAAAATTTTCCTTATGGGGATAACAGCAGGTAGGATGGTAGATATAGAGAGCACTTAGCTGGACATTGGTATAGCAATCGAGGCCCAAAGGGAGCGAAGCTTGTATACTAGAGGAGACTGAATCTGTGGAAAGTAGTACGAGTGTTGGAGGCTAGTGGTGTTTATTAATGCTTGGAAATGGTCCAGTCCAGTTGCTGGATGTATAGATTGCATGCATATGTTTTGTAGCGTTCTAGCTTAGCTGGGAATAGTTATTTGAGACTCCTTTCATTGCCTAGTGCCTAGTGCCTTGTGTTAGTACAATAAGACTGTTTTTCAAGAAAGAGTTTCAGCCCTCACTTAGAAAGCCGGCGGTGACGGGGAACAAGTCATCTTACAGGCGCTTAGTGCTTTACAAAGGATATAAAATGGCACGACAGCGTGTACACTCCGTGTTTAAATCTGATATGCTTGTATCGGTTGTAATACCTAAAGGCAAGTAGTACAGTTCAGGGTCAGTTTGTGTAGGAAACATCACAAGAATAGTGGTGTTCTTTCAAGTGAGCAACTGGAAGGAGGCGGCTACTTTTCGGGTTTACCCTCGGACATTGGAGAGCGGACAGGAGTGAATGGTACACAATGATTCATCAACGTTATAATTTACAGTGTATTTTTGCCGTTCCACCAGAATGGGACTTGAACGTGACCTGTGCATGAATGGTAAACCCTCCGCTCTGCACTTTTTTTGTGTAATTAGCTACTACTTGAGATTCACAGGTGCAAATTAACATTCTGAGCTCCAAGCGTGGTGACACACTAGGTTTTGTTGGATGGACATTTTGTCTACCAGCTCTGCGTGGTCTCTTCACAGGCAGAAGATTGTTCCATGCTCACAAGAATGTAGAAGTTTGCTACAAATATTGCAGTTTCAACCCGCGGTCTTCGAGTTTAGTATAGTGCCGGGAAAGGTTGACCCTAGTTGAGTGTTCAAGTGCTGTCTCCGAAGAGGTTAGTGTTAGGCAATCTTCGAGCTGAACTGTGACACAAGATGGATCATCGAAGTAACTGGTTTTTTTTTATTTCTTTTTGGATGTCCTTCCTTGATATATCTTGCATGTGACCGTAAACATACACTGAACTTGAACTGCACTCAGGTTGGAGTTGGAATGGATAGTCAAAACTCAGCTCGTCGTGTATGTTAGTAGAGGATATATGGCCATGTATTGGCCAATCGTTCCTATGAAGGTACTTAAACCGCGGAAGAGCGACTTTATATAAGTCTTGCAACAGAAGCATCATGGTTTTTCCTGACGTGTTTTGAGTATCACATTAAGTAGATACTGTGTAATCTCACAATACAGTTCGAACACAAATCTGCAGTCTTGATGTTTGCGATGTTCATAGGACCTCTTCTGGAGTGTTCCGAGTGGCGATGAAGTAGATGCTGTGTAAATCTGGAGGCCCACAATACTCAAACATCATCCGCAGTCTCGATGTACGCGAGTCCGTTCCACGGTCTTTTATATTTGTCACATCAAGTAACATTCACTGCTCCGTGTCAGAGAGAAAAACGTGGTCATTGGTCGTTACTACGAGGACACCGTTATGCCTCACGGACTGTGTGTGGTGAACGAGTCAAGAATGTGCAGCGATCGTTGGCTGTGTTGTTCTTCACTTGGAATTGATGTGTGAACTAAACGACTTTTCAGAAGTGCAACTTCTCAGCACAAAGCAGACTTAATACGTACAAACCATCAAACAGCTGAAATAAGAAGGTAAATGACACCGTAAGACAGAGTGGTCATCACAGAAAAGTATCTGATAAATTATTATAAGGATCTATTACTTACACACAAAGTCGGTAAGCCAGGAATGAGAGGAAATGGATTATGACTTGTGTAATGCCTAATGTCATGATGTACACTACTCACCCAAAGGCCGAGAGCGAGTGCATTAGCTGCATGACGAGTATAGCTTCTTTTAGATTTGAAGAAGGATTTGAAGACCCATCATATCTTATTGACGGATTGGATGGGTCTAAACCCCGTCCTACCCTCTTTCCATCCATGTAAGATTGTGGGAAATGTCTTACTGCAGGGAAGATATTATAACTATCAAACCAAATCTTTTAACATACGATTCCAGCATCCAGATGTATTATATGTTCTCACATGGATTATGGATTATAGTAGTTAATGAAATATTTTTATTAGTGATTGTATGTTTCAATATAATGTAGAACATGAGACAAGAATCTTTCTACTTTATTTACTGATTTGGTAGTCTTTCTTGCAAGCGAATTCTCTAACATAGACAATCCAATAATCTCACTGTAAGACAAGAAATGAATTTGTGATCATTATTAATCAATGTACTTGAAAACTTTGAAATTTGCTCTCCACTTGGTTCCCGTCCAAGAAATAATACCTTGTCCAGAATTGTGTCCCGTTTAACCACAATCCTTACTACAATGTCATAATAGATCATATAACTTGAAACTGTTATACAAGTACATGACATTCCGTTTAGTTGTAAATCTTTCACTATTCCTCTCCACGTGCTGTTCATCCAAGATGGATAATGATACCTTCAAGAATATGTCACATGTGACCACAACCCTTACCGAAGTACCTTATCATATCATATATTTTGTAACCTTGATATTCACTATCAATCAGTTGTCAAACTAGGAATGATGGATAATATGATCATAATCATGAAATTATTACCCAAATTTATGGACAATTGTTTTAACTGCAACCAATGATCAGTAAATCATGCAACCCATTATAATATGAATAGCACTAATATGTGAGCAAAAAGGATATAGATAGATTATATAAACCCGAGTAGGTTATATAAGTTGAATGTTGAATCTAATAGTAGCGAACAAAAGTAATTAATTACTTTTTCCATTTACTTTATATATATATATATATATATATATATATCCTCATGCAATGTTTGAAATTATAGTGATGTTGGTCAAGTTGTTCACCCCAAAAAAGTCGAACGTATTCTCACACACATAAACAAGATACACTGCCACAACCAACGCTTGACATATCTGGTTCACCACTAAGTGCTACTTCCACGTAATACTTCATAATTTTACTTGAAAATACTAGAGAATGTCACATAAAACTTTTTAAGCTCTCTTATGAAATTAAAATATAACCAACGTCATGAATTGTATCAAGCTAATCTGAATTATCATGATATTTAATTAACTTCCAAAAATCTTCTTCCTATCTCATATTGTGAGGACTGTAAATTCCATAAATTATATAATTATATTTGATAAAATTCTAGAAGGAAATCTAACATATGTAACTTTCTAAATTAGAGAAAACTAGATTTAGCTAGCCATAGCCAAAATGTATACTAAAATTCTTCAAAGGAATAATTTTATTCAACTCACGAGTTGAAAACAATTTACCAATAATCTTTATTGGTTCAATTATTCATTACAGATTTCATCTCTTGTGAAATGATATATGATATTAATTTGTTGTACATCATTCGATTTGCATCAAGATATAACGCACTCTAACAATCATAGTGATTATTCAAAATCTCATGTTCTAATTTCATTTTTTGATGCTTCAACTGCCATTAGAGTACTCATCTTTTGTTGTGAACCAAATTACACATTTATGCAAACTAGACATTCAATTAATGCATTCATCAAGTGTAAACACATATCTAATTCTAGATTTCTCTCCTTTATATCTTGTTCACAGTAAGCATCAATATAATACAGTTAAAAGTTGAATTTTTTAATAGATCATAAAATAAAATATTAGAATGTTTAAAACTTTTGAATTATATTAGAGTCCAATTCACAACTTTTCAAAGCATGTTTTTTAGATTTGACATATATTTTTGTATCTTGTCTATATTGGAGCAACATGAGATTTCATACATATCATGAAATACATGATGTTGTTCATTGTCATAAAAAATTGATGATATCTTTTACTACTCAATAACATTATTTGAATATTGAGGTGCAATAAGCTTTGGAATGTGCTCACAAAAAAATATCATTCTTCCATTGGCTTCGTCATGTTAAATGTATCAAGCATACGTTGAGTGTTCTTAGCTTGATTTAGCCATAGCTTTTTTTTTCTTCAGATTCATATAAACAAATAGACCCAATGTACTTTAGATTTTACTCAAAATTTTCATCTTTAATGCAGATTTTTTGCAATAATTGCGTTCAAATTGATTTTTTTTCAAAATAGATACATAATCCATTGTAAAATACTAGAATAATGAGATTTTAATATTAAAATTTTTGATTTATAGATAATCATACATACTCCGTGAAAATATTTGTGTTTTCATGAACTCATCATATCAATACATTTCACTATTATCTATAATTTTGTTTCAATTCATATAATGATATAAATAATCCAAAAATCAGCTACATTTTTTTTCTCAAAATCAACTAATTGTTTAATGTAGATATTATCTTTCGTCAAAAGATCAAAAATCAAACTAATTTTTCTCCTCAAAATACGATAAGTTTTTGTTTTGACTACATCTATCTAATCCATAATTATACTAGATTTGTAGCAAGTGGTCATAGAAGTCAATTTATAACATATTTTATCACAATATATGTGTAAACAGTTTTACTTATCCCCAATTTCAATATCATGAACTTGAAGAATAGATGAATTAATACATAATCTATATTTTATAAGAGTTTCTATTACCGTGTTTGATGATTCAAGAGTGGATATTTTTTGTTGATATTACCCTCTCCTATAGTTATTTGAGACTCCAATCATCATTTGCTATTTTACTTTTTGCTATTTAAAAATTGGTTCTATTTGTATCAGAGTTTTTTTATTACATATGAGCAATGTTATAATAGCACATTGATTAACAAAGATGCAGAGAGCTTTGATTAAAAAATGTCATATAGATTTTTGCAGTTCAAATTATTCAAACATATAGATTATGAGTTTTAGTAGAAATATGACTTTCAAATAATATCAAAATGGGTCATAAAGCTCTTACACATTAATGTGTTTGGAATTTTATTTTTAAAATTATTCATTTATATCAATTTAATATGTAACAATATTACAATTCAAAATAGTTGATTAAGAAGTCTCATAAAAGATTATTTTTTAGTATTCCAACTTGATGCAAATTGAATAATTCAAAAATAAAAATAAAAATAAAAGATTTTAACGTTCAAAGTATTCACATAGTTATATGAATTTTTTATAAATTACATTTTTTCACATATTTTATTTTATTTTTTAATTAAAATTAGTACTCATATATATGATTTTTAGTTATGAGCTTAAATGTTAGTTACTGTAATGTTTCATTTTTAAAAATAAATTTAGATTAAAATTTTATGACGTTATTTTCATCAAAAAGTATATTTAATCATTTACAAATTGATTTCAATCTATTTTCAGTAATTTGAATATTTAATTTTCTTGAAATAAAAATTAAATCAAATTTTGGTCTTCGATACATTTCTATCTTCAAAAATCTATATTTGAACTCTATAATGAAAAAGTTGCATGTACAATATTTTTTACAATTTTTATTTGTGTGAAATCTTTCTTCAACAAATTGGCTTGGAATACAATTAGCTCATTATATGTTACATCTAAGTTATACATCCACTTGTTGTTAATCAAATTTTTGAAAGTTCCAATAATATTCAAATTTTTTTATTAAGAAAAAATTGTATATGACATTTCATATGAATATTGATGTCAAACTTATTGAAACACGTGCAAATTTCTTTGTGCAAACAAGCTTCTTCATATTTTAAAAGTAACATAAATTTTATATTATCATCTTCTAAATTAGTGAATTGATTCAATTTTGTATATTTTGTAGATTCATCATTAATCAATTTAACAGATTTAGAAATAACATTTTTAATGTATCTCCATCATTTGATCATTTATCTTGTGTTCACGAAGGAAAAAAAGTCTTTACATGTGAATAAGTTGTGTGACTAGTATCAAGTGTGGAGTGTATAAGTCTAATGCTGATGTGGCTCTTATTGTGTTTTTTATTTTCATTTTAAGATCTAAAATT